TAATAATTTAAATTTTAAAAGAATTTTAAGAAATTTATATAAAGGGGAAGATCATAAAGAGAGGAAAATTAATAAACATAGGAATGAAAAGGAAAACAGAATGTTATAAGTACTGTTTGTCACTTCTCTGTTTTGTGAAGTACTGTGATATTCTTCATATTATGATATTTTCTAGTCTGAAAAAATACTGTTATTCTCCTAAAGTAATGTTTCTCTCTTGCTCTTGCTCTCCTTCTATACGTATGATTGCTACTTGATTGTGAATAAAACATGACAGAATATATTTTTAGGGAATAAGAGACAATTTCATTGAAAAAGAGGGCATTGGTTCTGATGACTTTGCAAAAAGGAATTGATTGGATCTCGTGTAAAAAATACAGATTTGAGAATACCTGTTGCTACTGCTCGCTGGTGAAAGCGCTATGCCATCCACGTGTACGGGATTGATTACATGCGTTTTAGCTACCATAAATCCAACCGCTTCCGATTTCGCCTTCATAGAATCGTGCCGAATCTTCCAGGAGTTGTTATCCTTTAAAGAATACACAATGATGCCGGGATCGGTAGTGTCAGTATCGGTGATGTATGCCATGCCACCGTCCTCGTGATCAAGAACAATGTCATTGAGGTACGCGTTTGTGCGACGTGCCACGTGCTCAGGAAATTGGTAAGAACGGAGGATTTTGCCATTGTCCTCGAGGTCGAGAATAACAAGGCGCGGCGAGCAGATTTTCGATTCCCTGAGAGACGTAGGTCGGCCGGTGTCGAGCGCCCACATACGACCCTTGGGATCAATCTCTATACTATGGACCAGTTGGAACGCCGCGCAGTCACCCAGCTTCTGCATGTCCCAATTGGGAAAAGCTTCTAACTTGGGCGCTGTCATGCCATTAATTGGTTTTGCTGACGTAGTGCCCAGCGTCACCGGTACGCCGTCTTTCCATCGCGGTAACGTCAGATACATTTTGTCCTTCCAAAATTTCACAGTGGTGATAAAGTTGTTTGCCGGTATGTATTCGCCTCGTGTTACAGCGTATTGTCGTTCCTCGTCTGAAGGCCAGTGGAAATCAATCGACTTCCATTCAAACATCACTTGAAATGGCTCGTGGCACAGCACTACAGTGGCCAGAAAGGCCAGTAGCATCAATCGCTCCATCATTAAAATCGATAATGTCTTTGATATAGTGCGAGAATCACTAAAATTATCTTATCTCTCGTCCTTCTTCGCAGATCCAATGCTATGTACCGCGTAGTTGTTTAAGCTTGTTTCTATAAATGCACGTAAAAATATTTCAGCAGGTTGAATTTTGAGATATTAAAACGAGCGAAAAGTATTTTATCAGTATAACTTTTCATTTCAATTACGATAATTTTGAACGTTATTTGTTTAGTACATAAGCCAACCCTTTAACAAAGTTAACACGGCTTTCTATAAATATCAATTTATACAGCTCTTGTTTATTATGAATAAAATCGTTAATTTATTATTTCTTTTTTTGTGTATAGAATATGGATCTGAAGAAGATAGTTATAAGGTTGCAGAGAATATCGTCACAAAAAACGCGTAACCGGAACAATTTGCCAGTCTTCGCTTACTTCTCGATGTAGTTTATTTTTGTACGTAGCTCCGTTGATCCGCGCGCACCAAGATTTGTATATCAAGTACAACGCGTCGAATGATCGCGCAACAACGATCGCGATTTGACTAACGAGAGGCGCGCGGCGCGGCACCACCGCCGCCGTCGGCGATGCTCCGGGAGACGTCGGATCTCCCACCCGTTCGTTCAAAGTGTATTTACACGCAGCCGGAGACGAGAGGAAGATGTCGCTTATGTTACGCCAAGCTACGCAGATGATCAAGTGACACAGAGATGCGAATTGTCGCGCTCTGCTGAACCGCTCCATAAATTTTCGGTCCAGTGATGTAATCCCGTCGTGAAAATAGACGATTCATTAACACCATTAGTTTTAGGGTAAACGAGCGGACAATAAATTCCTTTATTATAATCTCCCAGATATTGCACAATCCGTATGATTTATTATTGCTGTTAGTAAGAGCAGAAAAACAAGAACACCAAAAGATTAATAAATCATATCTGGCAATTAAAATTCTTATTGCGAAAAATATCCTGGCTGGGGTAATATTTTTCGCAATAAGAATTTTAATTGCCAGATACGGTCGATAAAAATCACGGATGTTGTTATATGATTACATTGATCATTTTACTTTTCCTCTTCATTCCTTTGTTTTAAAATATATACAATATATTAATTAAAAAACATTAAACGCACACACGCGCGCGCGCACGTATAAACAAATTAAAAGTAAAAATAGATATACGTTATATGTATATTAATTTCGCTGATAGTGTTAGTACTAGCTTTTTTCGACTCCTTTAGAATATCAGATTATCAATGTACACACAAAGCGTAAGTTTGCGGTCTTTTCATCCAGCAACCGGTGTGGATGACTTAACTCCACCTGCTTGGAGTTACTCGTTTCAAAGAAGCCTTGAAAACGAACGTGTCTGTTCGCGCCGAAAACATTGCCTTGAGCCCCGCAGGCAACGCTCGACGTGACTCTCATGCAAATTTACTTGCGCGCACACGATGCACATTAACATACGTGCGCGATCGCCGTTGCAGCTTATACCGTAGGTATTTTTGAATGTTGCATCAACGCCACGCAATGTTGATACATCGCAGAACAACAGAGCTGTTACGCAAGATGGTATGGGGATGGGTACGTGCGCCTCCTTCCCCCTCCGCTCTTTCATGACATGAATCAGATGTGTATACGCGATGCGTAGCGTTGCATCTACATGCAATAACGATTTCTCTATATTATGATTCGACGCGACATCAAGGCCGAAACGAGGAAACACTCCTACAGGAGCTAATGTTACAGTAGATTTGCATAGAATGAATTTCGCTCGCGCATACAGCGCACATGTGATCCCAAGTACATACATCCGATTAATGCATTACAGAAATTTTTTCCAGGATCGGATTCTATGTGTTATTGTGAAATAAACCAAGGATATATAAGTATATATGTAACATGTTTCAAACTGTCGAACGTCTTTGTAATAGGTAGATTTTTGGCCAATTTAGAATCTTTTCTTCATAATAGTGTCAAGGAGATAATTGCTTTTTGCAATTTACTAATTCTTGGCATCATATACCATTAATGCCTCAAAAAAACATTCTCTTCAATTAAATTTTACTCAAAAATTACATGAAGAGTGTAGCTTTGTTATGCATTTGAGTCCATAACGATTAATTTGTTTTTAAAAAATTGGAAGTTCTATTGTAACTACTTATTATCTCTCCAAAGTTGATACCTTGATATTTTTGTTAAGGAAAGACACTCTATAATTGCTCAAGACTTTGTAATTAAAAAATTATCTGGGATTTTAGATATTTTCCAAGTATATGTATAATACATTGTTGGTCAAAAGTTTAAGACACATTATTTAAAAATGTCTATATGACACAAATCTTCTTTTATGAAGAAGTCAAATTGAAAAACCTGCTCGCTGTGAAAGAAAAGCTTGGTGAACGAATTTTAATAATGAAATAAAAAATACAATATTTGTAAGTTCTACAAAACCTGAAAATTATTGTATAAATATTTTTTCATCAAAGCTATCTTTACATATAATCACTTTTTTTTAGTAATCTAAGCAATATAGCTGCATTTTTCTGTTAGTTTTTTTACCCATTCTCTAAAATAGTCCACAGCTCAGTTTTAGCGCTCAGTTTTAACACTGAAAAGGCTTTATAAATATAGTTTATTTTCTTGAAATTAATAACAATATTAGATTAACCATAACTATATTAAATATAATGCCAATTTACTTTTTAAGGAAATTAAGGAAAAGTGTTAAGTGAAGTATAAATCAAAATTTTAAATAATGTTTCACTGAAACATTTTTTACTTTAACGTGGTTTCAAACTCTTTTAGCTGACACTGAACATATAAATTTGAAACAGAACATAAGATAAAAACATAGACAAATTATTTTTTAATTATATATCTACGGAAAATTATAATTGTTATCGACATCTTTAGCATTTTATTAGAATTACCAATAAGATTACAGTATCCTTCATTAACTATTCCACCTGTCAACAACATACATTATTCAAGAACTAAAACAGGAAATCTAAGAATATTATGCTCTGTTCCTACTTCAGAGGCTCACATTTGCTCGCATTTAATATTTTTTGATCAGTTGCGATATCCGGTTCTCATCGATTTAGTCCAACATAATGTGTTCTTTTTATCTGGCTCTTTCGTTCTCGCTGCCGTTCCTAATTCACTGGAGCGACTAGCTGGTGCTTTTCAAATGGCGATGCTATTTCGAGCCACATCGCAAGCCCGACGATTTTAGTAGGCCAGTGGGAAACGGAAGCGGAGCTTTTGCCCTATATACACATACCACATTCACGCTTGTTAAAATCGGACTGACATATTCTAGCGATGGTAGACTAGTTTACCCTAATCTTGTCTTCGATTGCTCGCTCTAGAAAGAAATATGTACCTAGCGATAAACATTTTTGCCGCAATTTCTTGGAAAAGTAATTTCTTTCACAAGAGATGAAGTTTAGGGTTATCGTTCATCAATTTGATTGACTGATTTTCTAGGCTGATTTGAGGCCGCTCGCGCCTTTCTTACGTTATTGGGACACGCCTTGTATTGTTGATTCGTATTGATGATAAATTGGAAACTGTAACTTCTTTAGCTTTTACAGGTTAAATAACTAAGCGTAAAAGTATATTCTCATTACCTTATATTTCCATAAAAAATGTATCACTAATTTTGAAATTGTTTACTGTTTTTCATTAAATAAAATTTAATTTTATTGAAATATACATACATCAAATTACTAAATACTTATCAATACTGCGAATGTACTGTTTATCTAGTTTAGGATATGTGTTTTTAATCCACGCAATTATTAATATAATATAAATTCTCCAAATTTAAAAATATGATATTATTGTAAGATATAATATTAAAGAAAAGTGATAAAAATTGTACTCTTTAAGGTATTTTACATATTTTTTCATTTGGCTTTAATTTACACATTAAAATTGGAAACTGTCGCTTGATGTTTAAGATACTTACTGTTATGTGTATCTTTTATTAAGAAGAAATTAATTTGTTATAAGCTTGTTAGCCTTTGACATTGTGTAAAGAGTATGACTTAAATAATTTAAATAACTAATTTTCTAAGTTGTACCTGTCTAGAAAAAAACTTTCAAAAATTAATAAATTTGCGAATAAAAATAACAAGAAACATATGGTTGAAACAGTTTTCATATATATGTATATATTGTACATTAATTAGAAATAAAAATATATAATAATATTATGATAAATGTTTTGATTTAAGAACTTATGCTTAACTTTGCTCAGTTTAATTTTTTTAAATTAATGTATGACATTTATTGTACGAGTGTCATTTATATTATACACATTCCGAGAACTTTTTAAAAAACGTGTATATAATCCAGACTCTCTAATTACTACAAAAAACAACATTTACCTGTCTTCAAAATGTATACATAGATACATATGATTATATTATAATATACATATATGTATATGTGTATGTAATCTTAATAACTTATTACTATTACAATTGCGAAAAAATTCTTCAGTGTAGCAATATACTCAGATATCGTTTATAATTGCCTGTTATAATTTTTTAAGAGACGTGTAAGAATGCTGGGTCATGGACAGTGACCCTTCTTATCATTCCCTTTCCTCTCCTACCATCCTCCATTCAATATAATTTCATATTGTCTAATTATGCAGCACGCAAGGACGGTGACCCAAATTCACGAGGCGCGGCAGTCTACGGCACATAGATTTTCTACGATGGAGGAAACAACATCGTCTAGCGTTTTAGAAGTAGTGATAAGAGGAAAAGCACAAACGTCCTGGTAGAAAAAATAATAATTTTGACCAGGCAAATCACAGTTTAATCGTAAAATTTCAAAATTGAATTTTAAATTCCAGAATTTACACGATCACTGGCCATTGTTTCGAATACACATAATAAAATCCACCATAGAACGAGAGAGAGAGAGAGAGAGAGAGAGAGAGAGAGAGAGAGAGAGAGAGAGAGAGAGAGAGAGAGAGAGAGAGAGAGAGAGAG